AGGAAAGGAAAGGAAAGGAAAGGAAAGGAAAGGAAAGGAAAGGAAAGGAAAGGAAAGGAAAGGAAAAGCATTTGTAAACAAATCCAAAACATTATATACTAGAAAATCAGGCTCTGCAAAATTATTTTTTAAAGTTAAAACTAAACATTCAGACACAATATATTACCCCAACAATTTTCCTCCTGAGACCAGGATGCTAAGCACACTCCAAGCACACTCCCTGCTGCCTACATTATCTCCATTTCAGACAATGCAGTGTGGGAGATAGGTCATCCTAATTCTCCATCACAGTGGACAACTCTCCAGAAAACTGGATAAAATGATAATTACGGCAACACAGCTTTGAGGGCAAGAGGAGAGTTTCTGCAGCACAACTTAGTTATACGTAGAGGCCACAAAGAATTTGTCCTGCTGTTCCTAGGACTTAGATGACTCCCTGTGTTCACAGCACCCTGCTCTTTATACACACACACAACCCAGGAAAAGAGCTAAGGCACAAAGAAGCCTAACAGAAATCTCCCTTACTAACTCCCTATAATATCAGTATTTTGTAACATCTCATGCAGGATCCACAGGCATATCCAAATGTTATCCCCAACTCATTTACAATAACTAGGGGCATATCTGACTGAGAAAGAAAGTCATTTGTTTGTCAGAGTTACCATCATTTCAAAAAAGAAAATCTAGCAAAATGTTCTGATATTCAACCACTTCACCCTGGACAAGAATTAAAGCCATCATGAATGGATTTCTGCATGTGAAGCGTATTATTTCATTTAGCTGTGGTGAGATTCCTCTCATCCTCACCACTCATATTCTTTTATTCGCTCTTTGGTCAAAAAATGGCAGATCCCAAAACCAAACTATATTACATATTACTGACAGCTTCCTGCTAGAAGAGGGAAAGAATAGAACAGGAAGATATTTTTTATTATAAACTGCTAAAAATGTAGACAAGAGCGTGACCTGTGAGTCTGTGATCATCCTCTGAGATTTGAGTGCCTTCAGTATGTGAAGAGGCCAGACAGAAGCTTCTAACTGGTTGCACATGGCTTGAGATGCCTGTGAAAAGAAAGCTCAAGCCTCAGAGGAATTAGGCAGTTGTACTGGATGACTAAACAGGGAATCTTCCATTCATGCTGGCAGATGGGCACCTGGCTTCACTGGCACCCACTACATTCATCCTGTAAGACTGTTGGCAGCCACTGTGGCATGTGCATTGCCACGGAGTGGCTAATATTTGCAATTCTCTATTGACTTCCCCCAGCACCATAAGAAATCTTGGAGCAGGATTCATCCAGACCTTTATAAACTCGTAACTGCTCTGTTTCATAATAAAAGTATTAAACTGTGTGCATTTCTGAATCTCCTTGCAGTGCAATGGAGTAGGTGATACTAGTCAAGGATGTAAGATATAGAATCATGGAATCATACAATCATAGAAACACCAAGGTTGCAAAAGACCCACAAGATCACCCAGTCCAGCCATTCACCCATCACCAATACCTCTCACTAAACCATGTCCCTCAACACAACGTCCAAACCTTCCTTAAACACCTCCAACGACAGTGACTCCACCACTTCCCTGGGCAGCCCATTCCAGCGCCTTACCATTCTTACAGAAAAGTAGTATTTCCTAACATCCAGCCTGAATCTCCCCTGGTGCAGCTTGAAGCCATTCCCTCTGGTCCTATCAATATTTACATGAGAGAAGAGGCTGACCCCCCAGCTCACTACAACCTCCCTTCAGGTAGTTATAGAGAGCAATAAGGTCTCCCCTGAGCCTCCTCTTCTCCAGACTGAACAATCCCAGCTCCTTCAGCCTGTGCTCCTCATAAGGCCTGTGCTCCAGACCCCTCACCAACTTTGTTGCCCTTCTTTGAACCTGCTCCAGGGTTCAATGTCTTTCTTGCGATGAGGGGCCTAAAACTGAACACGGTACTCAAGGTGTGGCATCACCAGTGCTGAGCACAGGAGGACAATTACTTCCCTGTTCCTGCTGGCAACAATTTCTGATGCAAGCCAGGATGCCATTGGCCTTCTTGGCCACCTGGGTGCAGTGTTCATGTTCAGATGAGCATCAATCAATACCCCCAGGTCCATTTCCTCTACACAGTCTTCCAGCCACTCTGTCCCAAGCCTGTAGCATTGCCAGGTGTTTTGACCAATGTGCAGGACCCAGCATTTGGTCTTGTTGAACCTCATCCCATTGGCTTCAGCCCAGCTACCCAGCCTGGCCAGATCCCTCTGTAGGGCCTCGCTATTCCCAGACAGATCAACACTTCTAGCCAACTTGGTGTCATTTGCAAACTTACTGAGGGTGCACTGAGTGCCTTCATCCAGGTCATCAATAAAGATATTTAACAGGACAGGCCCTAGTACCAACCCCTGGGGAACACTATTCGTGACCGGTCGTCAGCTGGGTTTAATTCCATTCACCACCACTCTCTGAGCTCGGCCCTCCAGCCAGTTCCTTACCCAGCAAGATCCTCTGGTTGTCCCACATATGCCGTGTGATCTCCCTCAAGACAATCTGCTCCATAACCTTCCCTGGCACTGAGGTCAAGCTAACAGGCCTATAGTTCCCCGGATCCTCCTTATAATGCTTCTTGTAGATGGGAGTCACATTGGCAAGCCTCCAGTCTTCTGGGACCTCACCAGTGAAGTAGGAGAGCTGATAGACAATGGAAAGTGACTCGGCTAATTACATAACATACTAACTACTAATATATCCCTGCACTCTTAATGGTCAATAGCTCACTGTGTGCTCTGACTTCCATCACCTTTTTGGTCTTTCCAAGTTCACTACCTACTCTTTCCTAGTATATTACAAGGATGCATTTTTTATATTGGAAGTTTGGAGAAGTTGATGTTGCTTTTAATCACAGATTCACCAAATCACTGAAGGTTAATATTGGAAGGGACCTCTGAGAAACCTCTGATCCAACATTCCTACTCAAGTAGGGTTCCCTCAAGTACATTAGTCAAGATTGTGTCCAGGTAGTTTTTGAATATCTTCAGGGAAGGAGACATATATATAAAGGATATATGAAGGGAAAAAAGCAAAAGGAAAAAAAAAAAAAAAAAAAAAAAGCAGTAAGGAAAAGATTACAAGGCTTTTAGATCTTTTAAGAATTGTCATTGGAAGCAATGTTAGCAGTCAAGACTTGAAATGAAGCAGAGAAACAGAAAGGCCTGAGCTACAACCTGTTTTTACAGGGCCAATAAATATTGCAATGGGCTCTGTTGTGAGAAAATGTTACCTGCTAACTTGTGGGATTTTTTCTCTCTGTAGTTGCAGTTGTATTTAATGAGCTGGCTGAATCTCTTCTCAATTTCAATTGCTAGTGTATTGTTGACTCATATTTTCTGTGCTAAAGAATCACAGGATAACACTTGTTTGTGTAGGAGAGAGATGACATAGGAGCTAGGTCATCTGTCTGAGTGATAACAGAAGTATTTCTGCTGTTCTTCAGTAAGTAACACGGTCCTCAGACTGAACTACAACTTATGCCTATTTTACAAAACTTTAACCAGTAGGGTGACTGGAGCTCTGGTGCTGGGATATATGGGAGCGTGAGAGGAAGAGTAGTGTACAAGGGAATAAAGATTGAGTATGAAAGCCGCAGCAACAAAAGAAATCATAGCATAAATAAAAATCAGCCGCACATAGCAAGGGAAGACTACAAACTACCAGCATGGGAGTTAGAAACTGCAGGTTTCCTTTAAAAATTGCATATGGGAACTACTGTTATTTGGTAAAACAGAGACACAGAAAAAGGTGTCCCTGTCCCTGAGGGCACAAAACTGACAGAAGCAGGCACAAAAATTGTCTGCTAAGTTCTGTCTTAACACATCTGACCAGATGCAAAAAGGAAACGACAAAAACCACAGTTGTGGATCAGAGCTAAAGTAAGTCAGGGTTCAAGCACTGAGAACAGGGGAAGGAGAGGAATCTAACTGTCTGACCTCACAGGCAATTTACCAGATCAGAACCTATAAACAGTCTAATTCTGACATAATCACCTCCATAAACATATCCTCCAAAGCAGCTGACATACATACCTCCCAGATGCTTTTCTTCACCTCAAACATTGCTCACACAACGTCATTTGATACTCTTGGACAGGAAGCCTGCTTGCACAATAGTATAAAAATACTTGTACAATCAAGTTAGGTGAAGGCTTAGCGTAATGTAGGATTAATTGATATGTTGTGCAACGATGTAATTTGAAGCATGCTTACACGTGCTTCTGTATTTTTGTAAGGTGCTTTGGTTTTCTTCAACTCTGTGATGGTATCTACAAAGACTAACGTACTAAGTTACACTGGTATACAGCACAGTGACCTAAATCTTTGTTCACCAAAGGTTATGAGATTCACCCATTCTAAGGCCGAAAGAAACCACAGTAGTTGTATCCCCTCAGATAACTGAAGGAATGGAATAACCAAAGCCAACAAGATATGTTCTTGACCCAAGACAAAAAAGACACATAAGCACTATTACTGACCTTACCCTGACGTCTCCTTAATTTTCCAATAAATTTTTTATTCCCTTTTTCAGCCTCCTTATTTTATCATGTAAAGTTAAAATAACTCCAGATAGATGAAACACATAGGGAAACAAGAATGACTGCAAGGGGAGAAAAGTACTCAAAGAGACTTCAGTATAACAAGTGAACAACCGCTGCTATTAGTGTGTCTCTGTTTTCTTACAATCCTTTCCCACAACGTAGGTGATTGCTGTCAAGCCTAAGGAAGTGTCAGTTATGATTTATCTTTTGCAATTTATACAGTAGCAACTAAATATATTTCATTTAACTATTTTCGGAGCAAAGTCATCTTGCTCAGAAGAACATCCCCATCGTCAGTACAACTGCTGAAACTTAAGGCCTCCCTTAAGACTGTTTCTAATATTAAGTCCATTTCACCCTTTAGCACACCCCTGGCACAGGCAGAAAAAATATTCACTACAGTTCTTGAAATGGAGGGCTGCTGTAACCTAACCTGAGAACAACCTTTCCGCTTTCATGGCTAAATGTTACAACTACCCTTTATTTCTTGACAGCCTGCGTTCTTGGCTCCCAGGTGTAAATTCTTTGGAAATCTGAGATGCAAGGCTTTCAACTGTATGCTGAAAGCTCTAAATATCAGGCACAATTTCCTTTTCTTTTAATGGGTGTGTTGTCATGGAAACTTTGCAGTGGACTCTGGGCTTCATACTTAAAACTCTCGAGGTTTCTGGCAGTTCCCTGATGGGTCCTGTCAACCGTTCTTTTCACAGGAAGTGGTAATAAAAATTCACTTTCCTGTTCAGTGAACCTTGAATGAACTGAAGGAGAACAACCTCAAATCCACTTGTTTCCTCTCACTCCAAATTTCATATGCATGACTGATAGCGTGCCGCTTAACCCTTTCTGTAACTTTGTAAACAGCTGAGATGGGTAAAAGTTCAAAGTTCTGTATTATTACATGGTCTTGAAAGTCACTAGATTTTCCCATGGAACAGGTATAACACCTTCCTACAAATTTATAAATGCTGACCTCTCAGATTGGTGAGCTAAAAGGTAAAGGGACAAAATCTCAGTAGTTTTAGCTAGAATATGTTTTTTCTTCATCAATTTATTTCCTGAGTTAAAAAAAATTTAAAGAACTGGCAGAATGTGGTTAATTTCCTGTTTTTTGGCTTCTAATATATTTTCCTCTGTAAATGTTATAGTTATGCCACATTAGTGAGACAAATACAATAAGAAAACCCAAGCAACCTTTTCCAGTACGTAATTAGGTAATTTTCAGCAAGGGTCATATACTCGTAAAGTTGTCTTGCTATATATTACTTCACTGTTATGAAATGATTTTTTTGGGGGGGGGGGGGGGGGGTGGGAAACAGCCAGAGAGTAGGGATTATCTCCTCAAGGCTCCTTTTACTACTGACGGCAGATTCCTGAAATTTGTCTTGAACATGATCACCAAAATGCCTTCAAATAATCAGGCACCAATGCTGCTTTTTATCCTTTTCCACTTTTTTTCCATATTTCTCAATTTCACAGATGTCACTTTTTAATGCATTGACCCAAATAGTGTATATTAAGCTAGAGTGTCCTTCTCATGACCAGCCTTAGATATGTCTGCAAGGGAAAGCAAAGAACTACTTGAAACTGGTGTTGTTATTGAGAGTTTGTTAGCTTAAATCACAGAGTCTTGGTAACAACTCTGGGACCATTTTGCAACTCTAGCAGCTCCAGTTTGTTCCCAACCTCCCTGAAAGATGAGTGACACATACTGTGTGTTAACTTTTGTGCTCCCTTGCTATCAGACAGGTTTCCACTACATTACACACAGAGGTTCTTAACTTTACCATCTCTCCCCAATGTTAGGTTCACTGAGGGGAACCCCAATAGATTTAGACAGACAGACAGACAGACAGATAGATTAGACAATAAATGTTGTAGGCCCCTATACAGCAATATCTGAGCCCAATAATGAACAGGAGAACAGGTAAATTTGCTCACTGATAGCCATAAATTCAACATAATACTATGTAATCCTGCTGGGAAGATTTTCATGATTAAAAAGTTAGAAATCTCTGCTTTAAGTATTTAGAAAGGATCAAATAGAATAAGGAGAGAAGAAAATGAGGAGGCGTTACCTGTCACTGATAACTCATAAGCAACGTTTACAGGTCATTGTCCAAACAGATAAAAGTAAATGGGCTCAGAGTTAACGCTTCCTTTCCTCTGTCAGTTTACATAAGAAAATCCCACCTATGCATTCTTGTATGTAAAGACAAAAAAAATATGTACCTATATCTACTTTATTTTAAGAAACTCTGTTGTCAGAGAGTAACACTGCTTTTGCTATCTGAAACACTGCTGACTAGACTGTTCCTGAAAATTTTGCAAGAAATGTTTTTACTTTTATGTGAAACGCATTATGGTATATGAATGGGAACTGACTGAAAATCTGAAACATACAGACCAAATGATCACAACTTGACCAGACTAAAATCCTGATCAATGGTTAGATACTAACTAACTTTCAGGGGGAAATTCTTTACAGAGCGAGTGGTGAGGTACTGGAACAGGCTGCCCAGGGAGCCTGGTTGTGGATGCCCCGTCCCTGGAGGTGTTCAAGGCCAGATTGGATGGGGCCCTGGGCAGCCTGGTCTAGTATTAAACTGGGAGGTTGGTGGCCCTGCATGTGGCAGGGGGATTGGAGATTCATAATCCTTGAGGTCCTTTCCAACCCTGGCCATTCTGTGATTCTGTGGTTCTGTGATACTTACTGTTTGGAAAGGGGCAGTTTCCCAGAAATGAAAATAGTTGATCTAGGCCAGGCCATCTGGAAGAAAAGAATGGAAACAGAAAGGAGTGGTCAGAACCTGGCCCAGAGGTGCAGAAAAAGCCACCAGCCTCCGGGAAGGCCTCTGTTTAGAAGACTGAACAAGAGCCAGAGAAGGAAAGCTCAAGTAAGATACAAACAGTATAAATAAGATACAAATATCTAATATGAAGAATTTACTTATAGTTGTGATGCATTTTTCTCTGTTACTGTTCTAAAAATGAAGACTGTCTACAATTTGAAAATATATTTGCTAGATAATCCATAGCTGCTATCACTGAAGGCAGTTCTAGTGGAAATACCATGATCTCATACAGGCAGCGTGACTAGATGATGAAAAGTTTTCTTCTCTGATGTTAAAATATAAGAAAGTGGTTATTGCTGTGTGAACCTCAAAACCTTCCGATCCCTTCTTCAGCTCCACACCACCACCATAGTGGATGTTTATTCTTTCATGAAATGGCCCGTGTCTGTAAACTGCTGGATTATGCTTTACTGACACAACTCTCCTTGTTCAACCACAGTGTCTGCACTCTGATTTCACAGTGGAGTTGGTACGTTTTTGTCTGCACTACTATCTCAATATGAACCAACACACAAGCCTACTTCAGATTCAGTGGCATCACACTACTCTGTGGATATAAACCTTTTCTAGATCAATAGCACCAGTGTGTCCACTACCTCACTTCCCTAGGATCTGTATTATAGTCTTCCTAAAGCAATGCAACTGGACGTGCTCAAAAGCGCAAAATTAATTCATGTTTCACATGGAAAAAATTGTGCACAATTTTACATTCCTTTTTACAGGATTTCCATACTGAACATTGACTGAGATTCTTTTCACTTTAAAAATAAATATTAAAATAACAATCAGCTGCACTGGTTGAATAGTTTCTGGTTTCAAACACTGTTTCTTCAGGACACTAATGTTTTAGTGGTTATGTTTTCCATTCAGTGCTGCAGTCCTTTCTTCATGTTAAATGACATTATAATGGAGCAAGACTTCACATTTTGTCTTTACACAATGTGAGTATTTCCACTGACTTTAAGTGGCCTTGTAACTTCAAGCTGTCACAGACATAAGTCATCACAGTGTCAGACTTTAAACAGCAACCATCCGGTCTAGCTACTTCTACAGAAGAATTCAGTCATTTACATACTGCACTTTTGAACCCGCAGATCCCATGCTTTCTGCCAGAGGTTTGCAGAAGAATAAAGACTGAAATTAAACCAAACCACTATATGCGTAGTTAGGATCTTCCACAAAATTCAACCTGCTTTATGTTTCTTCCAATGAAGGAGTTTTAATAAATTTACTAGCAAGCATGGAGTTGTTATGACCCAAGTGCAGCTTAAAGATGGTTAAAATTAGGGATAACACTATTAGCAGTTTAACAAAACGTTTTTTCATTTAAGGAACCATAGATCTTTGTTTTTGTTCATACATCTCAGGCTTCTGCCCATTCAATATTTTTTATGTGGTAATTCTATAATCTCTTCATGCTTCTATTGCATGTATGAAAACCAAGCAATTGCTATGGCAACATACTGTGAATGTATTTATAGTGTTTCACATAAGTTAACAGAGGTTGGCAAATAACAGGGAGAAAACGGACATTAAATTACTTTAACTGAAGAAAAAAGTAAACCCATAATGATGTGGAAAAAAAAAAAAGATACTACAAAAGTCTGTTTGATGCCACATATCTCTGCTGGTTATCAGTTAAATGCTTCTATTTTGTACAAAAATAGAAGAAATAAGCGTGGTTTAAAATTGTCTTAAACTTCCGATTCTATTTTTAATACTTACAGCATAATTAAAGAGATATGTATCTGAATTCATAAAAACTAATTTAATCAAGCTGAAGACTTTTGTTTTTACAGATACCTAGAATTTCAGAAAGATATCAATTCAGATCTAACATTCTTCATACATAGATTTTAAACCACATTTATTCAGTAACGACAAAGTCAATCTGCAGTTGGAATTTATGCCATACTATGTTACTAAGTTTGAAGAATGGCTGATGACATTGCCCAAGATGGTTTATGTGACCCAAATGATTGAAATAATACAGATTAATAGACAGATTTGAGTCTTTTCCTTTCTGTTCCACAGCTAAACACAAACCTCACATGACTGTCCAAGATTTTGACCTGCTTGGGACACATTGAGTGAAGAAGAATTGTCTTGGGCCACATATAATATAGTCAGTGTATGTAAGTAACAATTTATTTTCTTTTCTAAAGGATGAAAAGTTAGGACAACAAAAGCATAAAGCTACTGGGTTGGACATGTATGCAGTTTTCATCCAAGCATTACGGTTCAGCAACTATATTAAATTAAGCACAAATTCACCTCCCAAGAGCTGTGGTTAACTCTGCTCTTTAATACATGCTATCAAGAATTGTAAAATCATCTAAATTCAAAAAGACTCACAGGGCCATCAAGCCCAATTGTGAGCTTGAGCTACCAAATCCCATCACTAAACCACATCCCTCAGTGCTATATCCATACATATCTTAAATACCTTCAGGAATGGAGTCTCCATCACTTCCCTGAATGGTCTTTTCCAATTCTGCATCACTTTCCCCATGAATAAATCTTCCTAATGTCTAATCTAAGCCTCCCCTGGCACAGCTTGAACAGCCTCAACTCCCTCAACTATTCCTCATAGATCTTGTTTTCTAGTGCCTTTACCAGCTTTGTTACTTTTCTCTAGACATGCTCAAGCAACTTGATGTCTTTCTTGCAATGAGATGCCCAAAACTGAACACAGTGCTCAAGATGTGTATTCATCAGTGCCTCATACAAGGAGACAATCACTTCCCTAGTCCTACTGGACACACTACTTCTACTAGAAGCTAGGACACAGCTGAGCTTCTTGGCCACCTAATGGCTCATGTTCTATGAGCTGTCAGCCAGCACCTTCAGGACCTTTTCTGCTGAGCAACTTTCCAGCCACTCTTTCCCAAGCCTGTAATAATGCAGTTATTATGACCCAAGTGAAACACTCATTTAGCTTTGTTGAATGCCACACAATTGGATGTAGTCCATTGATCTAGCCTATCCAGATCCCTCTACAGAACTTTCCTATCTTTAAGTAGGTCCTGATTAACTTGGTGTCATCTGCAAATGTATTAAGGATGCATTCAATTCTCTCACCCAAATCACTGATAAAAATGTTTAAAAAAAACCTGACCCCACAACTGAGCCCTGGTGAATACTTTTGGTGAGTAGCTGCCTGCTGTAATGAACACCATTTCTAATGATGCTTTGAGACTGGTTATCCATCCAGTTCTTCACCTAGCAAACCAACATCTGTCCAAGCCTTGAGCAGGCAGCTCTTCAAGAATACTGTGGGAAATGGTGTCAAACAATTTACTAAAATGGAGGTGAACAAAATTACAGCCCTTCCTCATCTACTAAGTGGTTTATCTTGTCATAAAAGAGATCCAGTTAGTCAGGCAGGATTTGCCTTTCATAAAGTTATGCTGGCTTCTTCTGATCATTTGATTGTCCATTCTGTGCCATATTAAGATATTCAAGATGATCTGCTCCATAACCTTCCTGGTACTGAGGTCATCCTGACAGTTTTCCACGTTGCTAGCTGATAAATGACTTTCAAAAATTGCATTTCTCTAACATTATCAGTTTCAGAGTACCCACACTTGGAAGAGTAAGGAGTTCCCATCATGTATTTGTGGTCCAGCTGCTTCTATGCATGCCATCGCACCACATTCAGGCATATATCTGTTTGTGGGTCTGTAGTGACACCAACATCACTGAACATATCTGGTTTGAGGACAAGTTTTTCTATTTTCCCACTGTGCTATTTTTGACCTGGGTTAATTCATCATTCCAGCAGAGAGCCTCATGAACACTTCTGCTGGTACAGCTGAGGGGTGAAGGGTTGGGAATGCTTTAAAGTGTCATTAAGCTGGTATATTGTGAAGCTACAACATGAGAGGATCACATGGAACTTTCTCATATGAAACCAACATATCATCACATTAATGATTCTGTATCTCCAACAATATTGTATTTTTGGTCATTGTAGTCAATAAGAATTAGATTTACACTGCCCACAAGCAAACCTTGGTTAATATTTGCTAAAGATAAAACAACAAAAAACACACTTAAAAATATTAACCGGAAAGCCTTTTTTACAAGGAAACTGAATCATTTAATATAATAATTTCTATTTTTCCCCCTATGTTTCATTTGAAAATTTCTATTTCACACAGAACATAGAAACATGGGGTTGGAAGTGACCTCTGGAGATCACCTAGCCCAACCTCTCTGCTAAAGCAAGTTTCCTAGAATACGTTACACAGGAAATCATCCAGGTGGATCTTGAATTTCTCCAGAGAAGGAGACTCCACAATCTGGACAGCTTGTTCCCATGCTCTGTCACCTTCACAGTAAAGACCTTCTCCCTCTTGATCATATGGAACTTTGTATGTTCCAGTTTGTGCCCATTGCTCCTTGTTCTGTCTCTAGGCACTGTTGAAAATAGTCTAGCCCCAACCACTTGACTCCCACCTTGTAGATACTTATAAGCATTGGAAAGATTTCCTCTCAGTCTTCACCGCTCCAGGCTTGACAGCCCCAGGTCTCTCAGTCATAATGGGGATAATATATAACTCATAATGGGGATATATAACTCATAATGGGGATGCTCCAGGTCCCGCATAATCTTTGGGGTCCTTCACTGGACTCTCTCTAGAAGCTCCAGTATTTCCTGAACTGAGGGGCCCAGACTGGATGCAGTACTCCAGATGTGGCCTCACCAGGGCAGGGCAGAACATGAGGATCATGTCCTTCAACCTGCTAGCCATGCTATTTTTAACGCACCCAGCATACTGTTGTCTTCTTGGCCCCAAGGCACACGGCTCATTCATGGCTAACATGCAGGTCCTTCTGTGCTGAGCTCCTTTTTAGCATGTCAGCCATTAACCTGCAGAAAGTGCATGTGGTAATTCCTTTCCATACGCAGGACTTTGTACTTGCCCTTGTTGAATCTCATCAGGTTCCTCCCCTCTCAGCTCTCCAATCTGTCCAGGTCTTGCTGAAGGCAGCACAGCCTTCTGATGTGTCAGCCATTCCTCTCAGCTTTGTGTCATTAGAAAACTTTCTGAGGACACATTCTATTGTTTCATCCAGGTCATTGATGTAGGTGTTGAATAAGCAGTATATGGCTGAAAATGTCAGTCATCCCATGTTTCTTTATAACTGATGTGGACCAAAAAGTGTACTGTACATTCCTGGAAGTAAACACAAGTTTAATCTTAATTTAAAATACATAGTATGAAGTAAACAATATTTATGAGGTATAATACTTTGATAGGGTAAGGGAAGACTGATATAGGAATCAACAGAAAGAAAAGACGGATGTGGATATACTTAAGGTCAATTCAACCTACTATAATTTCTCAGCTTACATATCACCGAAAAATACCTGAGAAATATTTTTACATTCAGTTTTTAATTTTTCATCTACCTCAGCATTGTATAACATGAGCTGTCAGGAGCACTGGGATTTAACTTTGTACTGCATAACACTGATTTTTATTTTTATTTTTTATTTTTATTCTTTTTAAAAAGAAATAAAAAAAAAAACTACTCTGTAACAGCAAGATGCCTGTTTGTTTATGGATAAATTTCTGTATAAGATCCTTATGTAATGATTGTCATTTCCCTGTGTTATTCACTACTTCCATGAATGATCAAGAATTAACACAATATTGATTTTAATGTACTTTGCAAGCCACTCAAAAATAACAGAAATAATTTGTGGATCAAGACAATCATTTAGATTATTGCTGTGTTACTTGATAAATTTACAGAATATATTTAAACAGAGACAAATGCAAATAAAAATTTTAGGAACAGGCAAACCATACTAGCAGAATGAAAGACTGTATTCTGGAAAGCTAAGATTCATCTGGCTAATGATGGCTGAGCAATTTGACATGCATTCTCAGTAGTTTGCCTAAAATTTTTACACCACAGCAAAAAAGAAAAAAAAAAAAAAAAAAAAAAAAAGAAAAGAAAAGAAAAGAAAAAGACATAATTATCAGACTGTATAGTTAGCCTAGGTTAGCACTGGAATGTGGCATAACATTTTCTTCATATTCGGTTTTAAAAATGACATTGACAAATCATGCAGAGAACAAGCTATAAATATGCTTAAAGGTGGAAGGAAATGCTTCTCAATGAGAGGCTGTTTTGTTAAAAATATAAAAATTGAAAGGTTATTTGAGCGAATTATAAAACATTCTTGTAGAGAAATATACTAAAGAGGGTCTTAATGAAGTGGAGAAAAACTGAAAACTGACAAAATCAAATGGGAAATTAGGAAAAGTCTTTTAACAATGCTGGTGATAAGTCAGTGAAGGTAACTACAAAAGGAGAATTTGTAATCTGTAACTGTTGATGTCTCTGGATGATTTTTGACTGTTCTAATTTAACCCAGCAGGCAGCACAGCACTGCACAGTAATTTGCTCACTTTCCCCTCTGTGGTAGAGGAGAGAACCAAGTGTTGAGGTAAAAACTATTTACTAAGACAGAAAAGGAAAAGAAGAAGGGAATAATAATAATAATAATAATAATAATAATAATAATAATAATAATAATAATGATAAAATATATATTTACAAAAAAAGTGATGCACAAAGTCACCACATGCCAACAAATGCCCAGCCAGACTCTGAGCAGTGGACTACCCCCAGCCAACTCCTCCAGTTTTTAAAGTTTTTTTCACATGATGTTATATGATATAGAATATCCCTTTTGCCAATTTAGGCCAGCTTTCCCAGTTCTCTCTCCATCCAGCTCCTTGTGCCATTCCAGCCCCTTCATTGGCAGGGCAGTATAAGAAGCTGAAACATCCTTGACTCTGTGCAGCCACTGCTCAGCAACAACTGAAACATCATTGTGTTATCAACATTGTTTCTCTCTGAAAGCCAAAACAAAGCGTCATGCCAGACATGAAGGGAAAACACTCTGTCTGAGCTGAAATCAGGACATTGACTCAAAAACAAGAAATGGTTCAGCAACATCCCTAATTCAGCCTGGAGATTGCCCAGCTGGGTACCATTTCTCTGTCTGTCATATCAAGGTAAAATAGATGATACTTTTTCTTTAAACTCTAAAAATGCTCTGCTTTCAGTTCCTGGGGGGATACATACCATCCACAAGCACAAGAAAATCTATTGTCCAGTGGTAACTGAACTGTTATTCTTAACATTGTTTTCAGTGTTATTCTTAACAAGATGCAGGTTTTAAATCATTTCTCACTAAGAAGAAACATCTGCAGCTTCCTTTACTGGAGGTCTGAAATTGTTGGCTGGCAACAAAAAGGCAACCCATTCTTGGGTTTACGTTTTCATTATTTTCTCTTATTTAAAAGACCTATGATATTATTATTCTTAACAGCGATGAAGCACTGTCTTACTTGTGTCTTCAATAAAACTCTATGCTTTTGAACACTGGCATGAATATTTCACGTAGATTTCTAGTACAGTTTCTATTACCTCCATTGGGTAAAACTTTTACACATACATACACATTTATATCCACAGTTTTTAAAGCTTAATATTCTTGTAAAAAAAAAGGCATAATTTCTAGAAAATATATTCTTCATATTTGACCATTTAAATATGATATACTTTAAAAGGTATAAATACAAAGCTATGTATTTTAATAGAGCAGTGTTGTAAGCTGGGGCCTTCAACGGTTGTGCACTTGAAACCTACTGTCATTGACATAGCAGTCAAACAGTGTTCAGATCGGCCTCAGAAATCTGTGTTTGAGATAGAGTGACTCAAGGCTGTGTTGTCACAACCGGATTTGGAGTCATGTCTCCTAGAATTCTAAAGAGCCCTAGAATTCTACAGAGGCTCCTGCACAAAACATACAATGAAGTCTGGGTAGGTTATAAGCTGGGAACAGGACTGTGACAGCCAACACAAAGAGCAGAGCAGAGGTCTGAGTCAATCAGTGAGAAATATTTATGAAATACTGAAATCCTGCCCTTCCCACAGGCTTCTGATGTATACAAGGTTTTCTGGCTGTCATTTCTGAGCACGTGTCCACATCTTTCTTTGGGAGGGGAGGACCAGTGGCTCTTTACTGTGACAAGTCCAACATGTTCAAGGTGGAAGTAATGCTGCTTAACTCTTGTACTGCAAGGTTTTATGACAGTCACATTCTCAGATGAAATTGTATTGTACTGTATTGCAAAAAAATTAAAGTACGATTTTAAGAAGAAAAAGAAAAAAGAGGAAGTTGACACCTCGTAATGCAGAATGCAATAACTAAAGAAATCCTCTATCCCAAGGGCTGAATTAGAGGAACATATGTCTAGGAACACTGCATGAATGCTGGCATGAAGTAACAGCTATTTGAGGCAGGCAGTACAGCAAAACCCTACATCTTTGTCCTTAGTCTTCACAACTTTCATGGCATTAGGCTGTAGGCTGCATATATCTGGAATTTATGTATTATTATTATATGTGTGTCCCAAATAGCTGTTCCCTAGGCGTACTGCTTAGTTTCAGCCCCACTGGGAGCCTATGCTGCATCCAAAACCTATACATTGTTTCAGTAAAAATTTAAGTCTCTTGGGTAATGTGCAGTGACAGAAAAGATTTCTGGCATCTTTGCCTGCCTCATACTGTCAAAAAGGCTAATAAGATACATGAGAATGGCTAGGACCTGCCGAGGTCCATTCGCACTTCAAATAAGTGCACCACAGAGTGGCTGCAATGTCCCAAAGGCCCTTGCTTCCCACCCTTTTTTTCTCCTAGATAGTGATGAAGAAAACTGATTCTGAAAATAACTGGAAACATTAATTCACACACTGGAAAAAAGGTTTTATAAGCCTTTAGCAAAGCAGATTGACAGCTTACTTGAAAAGAAGCATTTCTAAACTCAATGCTTCATTAACCAGCTAAAACAATAAATTCCTTCCTCAAATAAAGTGGTATCTCCTTGAGAATTACATTCAAGAGAAATGGTTCAGTTGACATTGTGAAAAAAGGAACAAAATACTTTGGTTTGTCAAAACCTAGAGAACACTTCATTTTACATTTCTGAGATTTTTACTCATGGATTGATATTTTCAGGTCCCAAAGGTTCCATTAGATGTCTTGTTGAATTTGAACTCCTTATTCTTGCAGTTTTCAACATCTGTTCTACGTAACATTTGTCTTTCACAGAGGCATGTATTTGTTTTCTTTCACATTCTTCATTTTGGTTTGGAAAATTTGTGACCAATTTCTCATCTGTTAGATTAATCTATTTTTGTAGGCATTCAAAATGTTGGAAAACAGACTGCTTGATGGTGTATTGAATGGAATAGTAGCTATTTTTTTTCAATTACAGAAGGTTAGCGATAAAGACAAAAACAAGAAAAGTTGGTAGATACACCTGGATTGTAAAATTGCCAGGGTTGGAAGGGACCTCAAGGATCATGAAACTCCAATCCCCCTGCCACATGCAGGGCCACCAACTTCCACATTTAATACTAGACCAGGCTGCCCAGGGCCCCATCCAATCTGGCCTTGAACACCTCCAGGCAAGGGGCATCCACAACCTCTCTGGGCAGCC